AAACCACTGTATCGTAATACAGTGTAGTATAACAGTTCTCCAGTGTTACTACAAAATGTAGTAGCACTGGATTTTTTTGAAAACTTCAGATTTGGAGTGTTATGATGGGTCTAATGTGTTTGACCCACATACAGGACCAAGGAGCTGCAGGTATGAGTAGTTGAGAGCAGGAAGAGGCCCTCCAGGCCAACAGAGGAACAATGGCACCATCTGGTGGATGCACGGAGACACTTAAAAAAGAACAAAAGACAACCCCCACAAACTGGAACCCTAACATGGAGGAGGTGAGATTAGCAAGATTTATTTGATATTATGTCTTAGAGTGATTTTGAACAGGAATTACAATTTAATATTCATATTATAATTCTTCATCACTCCTTTAAAAGTTAAAGCGTTGTATTTTCTATATTCAAGGAATGTATTTTGTATGGGAAGTTCATATCAAGATTAATAACCTTTGATTCTCCATTGAAATTTGGCATTTGTACTAACAGTTTTCAAAATCAATAAATAATATCCTCCATGAAAAACAAAATGACAAAAACGCTTTATATTAAATTATTTATTGATTATTATTTATCTTTTTCACCTGCTGCTGCTTCTATTTATAAGGCTCAGTCCCAGCCATGGGCTGGACATGTTGATGCTCTTGTTCAAGTGCTTGTTCACGGGGCCGGTGGAGAGAGGGGTTTTAGCATTTCACCTCTTATCCACTAAGCACGCCCTGTTCCTGACTTGGCTCATTGGAGAGAGCATTTCTTTTTAGCGTTCCATAGAGTTCCTGACTTCTGTTGGGAAAATCATGTATATATTTTATCATATTTAACTGCGTTTCTACTTAAAACATTATAACCTGATGTTTTTCATACACTGCTGGTTCCCATAGAGAAAAAAAACAGCCCGGCTGCAGCCTGTGTGCATGCAAAGGCTACATGCACACGAAGATAGGAATGGAATGTTCCTATCTCAACGTTATGTTGTGAAAATTGTATCTAGGCGCTTCAGCTCTGTGTTTTCCCTCCCTTTAGAAGCTAATAGCGCCCATTTGTAATCTTAGGGAAAATTCCTTCAATAAATATGCGAGGGGGGCCAGAGCATTTTTCAGGGTGTGTTGGAGATTGTAACTGAAATTACGTCTCTGGGGCACTCTCCTCACGAGTAAAACTCATCTAACTGTTTTTGTCTTTCTTTCCAGAGTTTGTTAATTGAATGTTACGGTATCAAACCTGACAACTTCCTGACCTATCTGCCTCTCAACCACTGCGTTTACCTGGTCCCGCCTGAACAGTCGGCCTGAACTATCTGTGGACTCCTGAAACTCTGAACCAGCCTGTCTCCGTTCTCATCCGTATCTCTGTCAAGGCTGTGGACTCCTGAACCTCTGAGCCTTCCTGTCCTGATCTGTTTTCCTAATCTGGCAAATATGAATTGTATAAAAGGCTCGGTCATTTTTTGTTTACTCTTATTAGAAACTCCTATCAGGAAGTGACGCAAATATAATTTCAGTGTGTTGCACCCGATATGAGGATTTTATAGAACTTCCTGTTCAATTTGTAGCATGTCGGATGTTTGGGTTATAAATATCGATGCTCCGAGTGTTAAGTTCATGACTGAATACTGATGGCAACACTGAACATGGAGATAATAAACCTGCTAACATAAACAATGAATGGAGTGAAAGCCTTTTTAGCTTCTGACCTGTATCCTGACTGATACTCCATCTTTGTTGGCTGCTAGCCCTAACCGATTACCCCCTAACATAAATAATCATTCTCCCTCATATGAGCGTGATCGCTGACCCATGTTTATCTTTAACCAGAGCTTCCAGTCATAGATGCCCTATCCACAGTCGGTGCAGATCCACAGCCTGCCTGAGAATAAATAAACGCTTTGGATTATACCACTGTTAGTCTTTGAATACTTGAATACTGTTAGTCCTTGAATACTGGGTCCTTCTGTTCTGCTCTATGACAGTTACATCCGTCACAGTACAGTAACGTGACAGAATAGTTTTAAATCGAATCAAACGTAGTGCAGATACGTTGTCAAAAGTTTACTTCTATTGCCAAAGCCCATTTACAATTTTCAGATGTTTATGTAAGACACACATCTGCTGTAACCTTGATCATACAAATATAACTGTTTTACTGGTGTTAATATTGTTTTATTTCAAAATTTAAAACACAGAGAAAGAGACTTGGAACAACACCAACAGGCTGGCCCACTCCCCCGAAAACAAGCCACTCCTCCAGCTGCTCGCTTTGCCGATCAATTTTTGGAAGACAATCACTTTTTGGCACAACAATGGCCTTTACTGCTCCGCTCTCACCTCGTGCTCCTGGATAGAACTGAGGTGTTGTCAAACTGCATTTACAGATTGGAGCGTACCCCGCTGAAATGGAAAAATCATGGCAACCAATCAGGGACTCGTTGTGGTTGTAATGTAGGTTAAAGAACTGCTGCTGAAGTGAAGCTTTTTTCAGTCAAAATGGAATAAAGAGGAAATAATGTTGACAGAAATAAGGAATGCTCTGAAGAGATGGGGCACACTGGTGGCTGGGCTTTTACCCATGGAGCCCGGCCGGGCCAGGGGACCCATGTTACCCATGGAGCCTGGCCAGAACCCAGAATCTTCTTGCTGCAAGGCAGCAGTGCTACCCTCTGCGCCACCGAGAAGCCCTGCTGTCAAAACAGTGAAGTTTTATTGAGTCTATGGTGAACAATGAATAATGATTCAGGAAAGCATCAAACTACGACTGAAAGGCTGACATAGATTAGCTTAGCTGGTCCCAGTGTTTCTAGTTCAGGTCCAACTGAAACAAAGAGAGGGTTAGCTCATGATGTAGCAGTTTGCTTCAGGAATGCGTGAATTGTTCAGTCTGCAGTGAGCATCAGCATTCAGTTAAACTCAGTAGTTGAATCAAAAAGCTTATTTTACATGAAACACCAACAGGGTTATCTATTCTACTTAGTTCACCCAAGCAGAGCCCGTATTAAGCATCAGATGGAAAAGAGGGGAAAGGATGAAGTTACTGTTTTGGTTTGGTGGAGTGAAGGCCTTTGGCTCTGTCCGGTGTGCTGCAGACCCCGTCTTCAGTCCAGTTCGTTCGTCCAACAGCAGCTCAAAGAGATTTGGATCTATCTGATGCAATATTGAGAGGCGATTTTGCAAGGGGGTTAATTTTTTAACTCAAAGTACTGTAGCACAGGACGTCGTAGTAGTTTGGGTTACATCAGTGACACTGGATCACAACAACCTGGTGACAGGTGCCGAGCAGAAGTGAGCATACTTGTTGTCCCTCATCTTGGAGCCTGTACGTTTGGGTTTACACCGGTGAACGAGAGGAGGACCTCCCTCTGCATACATGTGGGGGACGGGTTCTGACTGTTGTTTGTGATTATGCGCCAAACTGAAGTTTAGATTATCCGCCCTTTTTGGAGTCCTTGGAGGGAGTTCTAGAGACTGTCCTTCCTGGGAACTCCCTTGTTCTTCTGAGGGACTTCAACACTCACGTGGGAAATGATAGTGAGGGGACATGGTTGAAAGAATGACCCACCTGACCTGAAATCGAGTGGTGTGCTTGTCATGGATTGTCAATAACGAACACAGTGTTCAAGCACGATGGTGTCCATATGTGCTCTTCGCACCAGGATGCCCTAAGCCGTAGGTCAATGGTAGACTTTGTTGCTGTTTCATCTGATCTGCGGTCACATGTCTTAGACACTCAAGTGAAGAGAGGGGCGATACTCTCCACTGACCCCTACCTGGTGGTGTTTGGCTTGAATGGTGGGGGATGCGACGGTCATCAAAAAACTTATTGTGAGGGTTTGCTGGGAATGTCTGACAGAGTCCCCCATGAGACATAGCTTTAAACATGTCCCAAGGGAGGTGGGGGACATTGAGTCTGAGTGGACCATGTTCCATTCCTCTATTGTTGAGCTAGCCAAAACTGTGTTAGTCAGTTAGATGGACATTGTTGCTTTGAGCTGAGGACCACCTTATGATAGTAGTAGATAGACCTTGTGGGTTCCTGTTATTACCCCATTTTTAAAACGTATGGGTTTGTATGGGTGCATGCTTTCAGCATACTACTACTGTCAGCTGCCTTAATTGAGTGATAATAAATACCAACCATACTCTTTGCTGCTACTCATTTGGCTATGTGGTAGTGTTGACCTGAGGTAAACTCTTTCTCTTTATTATGCACGTATTAATAGTGATTTTATTACACTTCACGGTAATAAATTCTGTTGATATTTAAAGATGTTTTTCAATTTTTTGCATTACTCTAACCAGGTTTAAACAAAACTGTGCTGTGACCTTGGCTGTAAAAGAGGGACATGAGACTTAAGGATAAGTACAACAGGTGAAAATAAACTGGGGTCGGTCTTTGCAGGAATTAAGCACGCACTTTAAAGATAAGCAGTGACCTTCTGCAAGACGCCTGATTATTGTTCAGATTGTCAATTCCTGCCTAGGCTGATTCTAATCATCTTATATGTGAATTGTCAATTTATTTAAAACTAAAAATACAGGGAAAGGGTTGCTTAGTGTTCAAGATTAATTTCTTTTTATTTTATGTTTTAAATAACTAGTATATCTGTTAGTTTCTCTATTCTGTTTTTTGTGTAAGTCAGCCAAATGGACACTGATGAGCACTAAAAGAGAGGCTCCAGCATCACCTTGTATGGTAATGTTGTGGAGGTGTGCAGTGAAAAAACAAAAAGGACACTATTGGCTGGCCTAAAAGGCACTTTAAGGTGCTGTATAGTTCATGTCATCCAGCTGCAGGAGATTCAGAATCTTTCCCATTGTTAAAAATAGGCTAGCCGGTAGGAAGAAACATGGGGATTTCAAGAGTTTTATAGAGACTTTTACAGACACAAGGAAAGAAAAATACAAATTCAGACATTTCACTCCAGAACTATTTTGAGATGCAGTTTATTTATTGTTACAGATAAGACAAACAAAAAGTAGTGACTGAAAGGAAATACTGTATTTAAGAACACCTGGCATTGCAGTTGCATGCCAGATGAGCCTGGGTTGTTTGTTCCAGGTCCACACTTCTGTCAAAAACACTGCTCTGAGCACCTGCACATACAAAGGAAATACACCAGTTAGAACAATGTTTAATTTTTAAAGCTCCATCTTTTTTTAATCTAAAAATTCTCACCAGATTGCAGACAGCTGAAACCAACAGTGACAGGGGTGGTCTTGATTGGCATGCATCCTGGCAGACAGCGAGGAACGGGCTCCACAGACAAGCATGTAGAGTCGTCACCATAAATTGTCAACTGTTTCTCCAGCTGCACAGATTCATGCTTCAGACGGCACTCTGTGGAAGGGCAATGTTGCTAATTAAGATTTTGCTAGAAAGGAACAAATAATTTATTCATGTATGAAACATTGAGATACATATTTGATTTTACCAGACGCATCCCTGCAGCTTTCAGCAGGCAGAATCCAGGACTGGGCAAAGCTGACTGAGTTCTTAGCCACGCGTCCGTTGGGAGTGCGGTACTCTTGTCTGATTTCTCCATCACCCTTTCCACAGAGTCCACAGGTCTTTCCTTTCATCCAGTCAGCAACCTTGATCTACATTGGATATTAAATGGGAGTTTAGAAAACAGAAATAAATATATATAAGCTTTCCCTAAAACCTCACTTTTTATTT